GTCTGGCGGCCGCACGTGCCCTATAGCAAAAAACCTCTCAAAAAAAAAAAAAAAACAGTGATAAGAGACCCGCCCTGGTTTCTCCTCGCTTCCCGGGGACCCATGACCACCTGGGACCTGCTCCTCTGCTGGCCCACAGAACAGCCTGCTGCCAGAAGAGTGGGTGCCCATTTGAACACGTCCGAACCCGCGGCACGCCGGGCACGTACAGGCAGATAACGGCGAGACGAAGGACCGTCCCCCGCCCTCGAGGACTCTGGGTCTAGTGAGAGAAATCGCTCCTCAGTGCCACTGTCCTGTGGTGAGGGGCTGTCTGAGCGCTGTGGGACACGATGAAGTAGTTCTGCCTGATGGTGTGAGCCAGAGTAACGTTGGGTTTGGCGTGACTCCTAGGAACACACTCTGTGGCCCAGGATTTGGTGGCAGGACCAGGAACAGCAAGAGCCAAGGTCAGAGGAAGGAAGGGCATGGGCTGGGAGGACAGCAGCCAGTGTGGGCGACCACGCCTTGCCGTGGGCCAGCTCCCGCAGGGGCTGGGGATGTGGGCTCAGGGCTCGCCTGCACTGCTGAACTGAAGCCAGATCAGTCCAGGGCAGGGTGGGTGGTGGCCAGCGCGTGGCCTTGAGCGGAAGTATCTGAGGAGAGGAGATGGTGCCCTGGGCGGAATGGAGACACAGCCCTGGGGGGATATCACAGTCTGCCTGGGCTGTTGCCGAGAGGCCGCGACAGGTGCCGAGTACATCAGAGAGAAGGCCGGGGAGCTGGCAAATACCGGGGTCTGGATTGGAGCTGCAGCCTGGCTGACAGCCCGACCATAGCAGACCCTGAGGATCCCTGCAGGAAGCCAGTGGCTCTCCACTTACGCTGTGCCTGGATCACTGAGATGCTGTCACCACAGACCAAGCAAGTCTACCTCTACAGCAGGGCTCAGCCCCAGGTGGCTCCAATGTGCAGCACTGAAAGAGGTGACACCACAGAGGTTGGGTCTGGAATCTGCCAGGTCTGCAAGCCATTGCCAAGGCCGTGACAGTCTCTGGAGGGTCAGGGTAGAGGCTGCAGACTGAGGCTCACCTTTTCAGGAATTTTCTTTAAGGAGAGACTGGGAGAATAAATTCACACAGGAAGACTGAAAGATTTGGAGAACAATTAGGTGACTTGAGAGAACTAGGTGAGAGAAGGTGTAGGCCTGGGCAGGGGGAGAGATGGAGGGAGGAGGGAAGGGGTTAAAAGCCCTTCTTTTGTAGGAAACTATAAAATATTGCTGAAGAAAATGAAAGAAGACACAAATAAGTAGCAATACATCCTATGTTCATGGACTGGAAGATGATATTTTTATGAGGTCAATACGACCCAAGCAATCTACACATTCAGTGCAATGCCTATCAAAATCACAGTGACATCTTTGGCAAATTTAAAAATTCATCCTAAAACTTATACAGGACCTCTAGGAACCCCAAATGGACAAAACAATCAAAAAAAAAAAAAAAAAACGTTGTGAGTCTCATAATTCCTGACTTAAAATGTATTACAAAGCCACAGTAAACAAAACCATATGGTACTGGCATTAAAAAATAGACATATAGACCAACAAAACAAAATAGAGAGACCAGAAATAAACCGTCATATATACGATCAAATGACTTTCAAAAAGGATGCTAAGATCATTCACTGGGGAAAGGACAATCTTTTCAACAAATAGTGCTGGGAAAATTGAATATCCACATACAAAGTAATGAAGATGGTCTCTTACCTTATACCATATATAAAAATTAACACAAAATAGATAAACCGTACTGTAAAACATAGAAATCTTAGGAGAAGACATAGGGAGAAACTTTATGGCATCGGAATTGGCTGCAATTTATTGACTAAAACACCAAAAGATGGGCAGAAAAGGAAATATAAATAAACTGGACTTCATCAGATTAAAGACATATCAAAAGACACAGTTTGTGGAGTGAAAAGGCAACCTACAGAATAGGAAAAACTATTTGAAAATCATACATCTGGGGCTGGCAGGTGGCATGGTGTTTAAAGCCCTGGACCCCCACATGGCTGAGTGTGGTTCAAGTCCCAAACCTGGTGACTTGATTTCTCATTCTCCCTCTCTGTCTCTCTCTGGTCAAACTGAATAATAATAAATAAATAAAACTAAATAAATAATTTTTAAAAAGAGAAAAATCATACATCTGATGAAGGGTTAATATCCAGCGTATATGAAGAATTTCTACAACTCGGCAGTAAATTACCTGATTAAAAAACGGGCCAAGTATTTGAATAGACATTTCTCCAAAAAGATATGTAAATGGCTGCTAAGCACATGAGAAGATGCTGAACATTACAAACTGTCAGGGAGAGGTGCATCCAAACTACGGTATCATAGGAACTCGTGCAACTGCTGCCGACAACAGTGTGGTGGCTCCTCGGAATTTACAACTAGAATCACCTCATGTCCCGCAGTTCTGCTTCTGGAGTCTGGAAGTCCAAGACCAAGGTTGACAGGATTGGTTTCTTCTGAGGCCTCTCCCCTCGGCTTGCTTCCTCCCCGTGTCTTCATGGGTCCTTCCCTCTGTATGCGTCGGTATCCTAACCCCTTCTTAGAAGAAGACCAGTCATACTGGATCATTTTAACTCTTTAAAATCCTATCTCCAAATACATTCACATTTCAAGATCCTGGTGTGAGGGCTTCGAAATATGATTTTTTTTTTTTTTTTGGTGGGGACACAGTCTGTCCCATAATGGCCATGTTCATAGCAGCACTGTTCACAACAGCCAAAAGGTAGAAGCAACGCAAGTTTCCATGGACTTATGAATGGACAAACAAAACGTGGCATGTTTGGAATATTATTCAGCCTTTAAAAGGAAGAGAATTCTGGGTCAGCAGGTGGCATGGTGGTTAAGGCACTGAATACTCCCATATAGCCAACCACAGTTCGAGTCCCAGACCTGGTGGCTTGCTTTCTCACTTTCCTTCTCTCTGTGTGTCTGTCTTTCTCTGGTCAAAATAAATAAATGAATAAGTAAAAATAAATAATTCTTTTTTTTTTTTAAAAGGAAGGGAATGTTGACACATGCTATAACGTGGAAGAACCTTAAAGACGTACTCGGTGAAATAAGCCAGTCACAGAAGGACAAACCCTGGGTGATTCCACTTTCGGGGGGCCTATGGTAGCCAGATCCACTGGGACAGAAAGTGGGTGGGGGTTGCCAGCAGCTGGGGGGTAGGGTGTGGGGAGCTAGTGTTCGGTGGGCACAGATTTCCGTTCGAGAGATGACGACGTTCTGGAACTGGGTGGTGTTGATGTCTGCACGGTGTCAGTGTTCTTAATGCCGCTGAGCTGTACACTGAGAAGTGATTAAGAGGCTAACGTTGGGACCAGTAGTTGGTGTAATGGTTATGTTGCTGGACTCCCATGTAGCCGACCGCGGTTCACGTCCCAGATCCGGTGGCTTAAACTCACGCCGGGCACATGTACGTGCGTGCCCAAGATCCTGAGAGGAGAATGGAGGAGAAGGGATTGCAGCGTGGCCATCCCCCTAGGGGGTGATTTTCCGCTTTCTGTCTCTCTGTCTCTCTGTCTTTCTGGGGAGCGCATGCACCCAATAGCAAAAACCTCTCCAAAAAAAAAAAATGCTAACGTTTATATTATGTGTATTTTGCCATAATTAAACATTTCTAAGTGAATAAATAAGAAAGGTTAAGGAGGGGCCAGCAGGTGGCATGGTGGTTAAGGCACCGGACACCCACTTGGCCAACTTCAGTTCAATTCTCAGACCTGGCCTCTTGAAAATCAAGCAGGGTCCATGTGTATGTGTGCCCAAAACCCTGAGAGGAGAATAGAAGAGAAGGGATTGCAGCATGGCCATCCGCCGTGGGGGGTGACTTCTCACTTTTCCTCTCTCTTTCTCTCTCTGACTAGCACATATGCCCTATGGCAAAAGCCTTACCAAAAGAAAGAAAGAGAAAGAGAGAAAGAGAAAGGGAGGAAGGAAGGAAGAAAGACAGGCTAAGGAAGCAGGTCCTCCTGGACCCACGGGCATCTGGGTGGGGCTTCCGTCTGGCACGGTGATGTTCATCGAGGCAGGAGGCAGGGGAACAGGGCTGAGGGCGGAAAGGAAGCTCTGCCTTAGACACGCCGAGCTCGTGGCGAGCTCCTGGCTTGGACCCTCGGCCACCGTGTCATTAGGCATTGCTGATTGTTCGGCCTCGGCCACCCCCTCCCAACACCCCGTCATCTCCACGGTGGACAGACCCCGGGCCATTCCGTGGAGTCCCATGTTCTGAGTCACAGGTGAACCCTGTCTCCTGGCCACTCCCCAAGCACCCCAAGATAGGCTTTCATCCCTCTGCTCTTCTCATTTCCCTTTTGGCCTCTTTCGCTTTCTGTCCCCTCAGTCCCAGAGGTTCTCCTCCCTCCTCCCTAGGTGATGGGGTAGTGGTCACGCTAGAGCTTGGGCTCCACATTTGGGAGGGTGTGGAGAGTGGACAGGATCTGGGGGGCTAACATGCCTTCCCCTCCTCCTTTTACCCATCTGCCATCCACGACCCTCCGCAGTGGCTGCTGTTAGGAGGACCTAGAGGGATGGTGACACACGCTCAGAGCCACCGCACCCCGGGCCCGGGGCCTGACCACTGCTCTCTCTCTCCCAGGACCTGAGCTCCTTCGCCATGCCACTCCTGGACGGAGACCTGGAGAGCTCGGACAAGCATTCTTCTCGGAAGGTAAGCTCCTTTCTGGGAGCTCCTCACAGCTCCCCTGAGGAGACACTGAGACAGGCAGAGCCCGAGACACACTCTCACCTGTGCTCCCACCTGCACGCCCACTTCTATGTTGGCCTGCGCACCTGCCCATAGCTGGGCTACCCCGGACGGGCACATGTACGTGCGTGCCCAAGATCCTGAGAGGAGAATGGAGGAGAAGGGATTGCAGCGTGGCCATCCCCCTAGGGGGTGATTTTCCGCTTTCTGTCTCTCTGTCTCTCTGTCTTTCTGGGGAGCGCATGCACCCAATAGCAAAAACCTCTCCAAAAAAAAAAAATGCTAACGTTTATATTATGTGTATTTTGCCATAATTAAACATTTCTAAGTGAATAAATAAGAAAGGTTAAGGAGGGGCCAGCAGGTGGCATGGTGGTTAAGGCACCGGACACCCACTTGGCCAACTTCATTTCAATTCTCAGACCTGGCCTCTTGAAAATCAAGCAGGGTCCATGTGTATGTGTGCCCAAAACCCTGAGAGGAGAATAGAAGAGAAGGGATTGCAGCATGGCCATCCGCCGTGGGGGGTGACTTCTCACTTTTCCTCTCTCTTTCTCTCTCTGACTAGCACATATGCCCTATGGCAAAAGCCTTACCAAAAGAAAGAAAGAGAAAGAGAGAAAGAGAAAGGGAGGAAGGAAGGAAGAAAGACAGGCTAAGGAAGCAGGTCCTCCTGGACCCACGGGCATCTGGGTGGGGCTTCCGTCTGGCACGGTGATGTTCATCGAGGCAGGAGGCAGGGGAGCAGGGCTGAGGGCGGAAAGGAAGCTCTGCCTTACACACGCCGAGCTCGTGGCGAGCTCCTGGCTTGGACCCTCGGCCACCGTGTCATTAGGCATTGCTGATTGTTCGGCCTCGGCCACCCCCTCCCAACACCCCGTCATCTCCACGGTGGACAGACCCCGGGCCATTCCGTGGAGTCCCATGTTCTGAGTCACAGGTGAACCCTGTCTCCTGGCCACTCCCCAAGCACCCCAAGATAGGCTTTCATCCCTCTGCTCTTCTCATTTCCCTTTTGGCCTCTTTCGCTTTCTGTCCCCTCAGTCCCAGAGGTTCTCCTCCCTCCTCCCTAGGTGATGGGGTAGTGGTCACGCTAGAGCTTGGGCTCCACATTTGGGAGGGTGTGGAGAGTGGACAGGATCTGGGGGGCTAACATGCCTTCCCCTCCTCCTTTTACCCATCTGCCATCCACGACCCTCCGCAGTGGCTGCTGTTAGGAGGACCTAGAGGGATGGTGACACACGCTCAGAGCCACCGCACCCCGGGCCCGGGGCCTGACCACTGCTCTCTCTCTCCCAGGACCTGAGCTCCTTCGCCATGCCACTCCTGGACGGAGACCTGGAGAGCTCGGACAAGCATTCTTCTCGGAAGGTAAGCTCCTTTCTGGGAGCTCCTCACAGCTCCCCTGAGGAGACACTGAGACAGGCAGAGCCCGAGACACACTCTCACCTGTGCTCCCACCTGCACGCCCACTTCTATGTTGGCCTGCGCACCTGCCCATAGCTGGGCTACCCAGGACAGCTCGCCTCACCTGGCTGTGCCCTGGCAGTTGCTGGACTGTCCAGTGTCTGAGCCTCCTGGGCCTCGCTCCATCTTCTCCCCCTCTGGTGCCTGTGGCCCACCGGGCTCCCCAAAGTGGGTAGGGGTGATGGGGAGGTTGGCCAGAATAGCGCAGGCAGCTAGGCAGGCCTGTGGTGGACTGCGCTCCACCTCAGACGGGAGTCCGTCCTGCCCACAGGGCACCCGAGTCCCCTCCTGCCCCCACCCCGGTTCATTTCCTTCCATTGAGACACCACAGTCCCCACCGGGCTGCTGGCTATGGAGGGTCAGGAAGGGTGTGGGGTGGAGAGGGGCCAGCAGTGGCAGGTGAGGGGTTGAGGTGGTCAGGGCAGGGGAGGTTGGGTGGCCAGCCCGCTCCCCTGCAGTCGAGAAGTGAAGGTGGGCAGGGGCTGGGGCAGGAAACCCCCTGCACTCCCCACCTGGGCTTCCAGCTCCCACAGCCCCGTGGTGGGGGCTGCAGGGAGGGCTGCCCGGTCCTGCTGCGGTGCCTGGGAGAAGGTGCTGGGTGCCCGGGGCCAGCAGTTAAAGCAGGTGCTCCCATACAGACTGCGCACACCCATTCCGGGGACCGCACACGACTGAGCCCACAGATGGGTTCAGCCTGCACGGCCCGCCCTGTCGGGAGCCAGCCCTGCCTGCCCCGAGACCTCCATGTCAGCAGTGGACGCAGTGCCCTGGAAAGGCTGGCTGAGACTACAGAGGACGGGGCGGGGGCGGGGACAGAGCAGGAAGGAGCCACATGTCAGCACCCGGGTGGTGACCACGAGGGCGCCCTGCAGGGTCTATGTCCTCCTCACTGTTTCCGCAAAGCCCTTCCTCCACATGGAAACCCAAGCAGGAACTGACACCATGGGGCAGGCGCTGAGAGCTGGGCTCACTCGGACCCACCCTGGCCTGCCCTGCTGACTCCAGAGTAGAGTCACACAGGAATGGGACCTGGGCCAGAAAGGACCTTGCGGGTTCTCGCGTCCCCTGCGATTACTCAGACCCGTGTATGGCGTGGTCGGGTCAGGTGGGTTGAGGCTGGGCCTTCCCTAGCCCGTTGCTCTGGCTGGGGAGGGGGCATCGGCTGGGGGGAAGGCGGCCGGCTGGGCCAGGAGCCCCTACAGATGAGTGGCGGAGCCACAGGTGCTGCAGAAGACACACCCCCGACGGTCACCTGACCTCCACGACGTGTCTCTTCCTCGTCTTCGGCTCCTCTGCCCAGGAACCTCGCTGACGTACAACACGGCCCGTGCGCGGGCCAGACGTGTGAGCTGGACATGTGACACAGCCTGTCTGCAGGCCAGACATGTGACACAATGACACTGCCCCGTGCAGACCTCCGACACTTCTACTTACGACGCGATTGGGGGGCGTGAGGAAGAAATGCTGAAGTTACAGACATAGTCACTATTTCTGCCTTTTGTTTAAGCTATCCGAAGTCTGTGCCCCAGGCTGACCAGATGTTCACCCCCTTCGTTCCTGGGACTTCCTTCCTAGGCTCGTGCCAAGGTCCTGGGGTCTGTAGAGCATGGACGCTAATTTCTTAGATGAGGGAGCTAGACTGCAGAATGGCGGAGAGACTCACGCTCCACACAAGGCCAGCCTGAGGACAGGTGGCCCGAAGCTCAGCCCAGTCTGACCCTAGAGACCCCAAACCTGGCAGGTGGCCAGGTCACTCAGGGAGGTGTCCTAGGAGGGACAGACCCCATGTCCATGCTTCCTCCCCCCACCTCAGCCTGTGAGCAAAAGCCCTCCTTCTTAGGGGTCCCTCCCTCTCCCACAGCAGTGACAGGAAGTCCTCGCTGCTGCCATCGCAGTGGCACTGTGACCCTCCCTGTCCCCTAGATTTCCACTGTGGTGGGATGGAGGTGTCCCGGCCCCAGCGGCCGAGCTCCCTGGTGGGTGTTCCTGGTGCGCAAGGGTATGTTTCACTATAGAGAAGGTCTGAGTGTCCCCTCCAATGGTGCCCGGTCCCCTGGAGGTGGCAGCTCTGCCGTGTGACATGAGTCAGTGCGGAAACTCCCAGTCCCTCAACTTGGCCCAGCTCTGGCAACAGGTTCCTGGGACTTCTGCAGGGGGCAGTGCTGGCTGGTGATCTGGGCCACTCGAAACTCCATAGTCACACTTGGGTGGGGCAAGTCCTGGCTTTGGGGATCTGTGGATGCTCACCCCAGTGACACGACCACGGGCTTCCTTCTCTCTGTGCCTCTGCCCCGAGACTACCACCTGGGTCTCCTGTTCATCCCCACGGGCACCTGCCTTCCACTTAGCCGGGACGAGGCTCAGTCTCCCCGCACGTGACTCCCCATGGGCACCTGCCTTCCACTTAGCGGGGACGAGGCTCAGTCTCCCCGCACGTGACTCCCCACGGGCACCTGCCTTCCACTTAGCCGGGACGAGGCTCAGTCTCCCCGCACGTGACTCCCCACGGGCACCTGCCTTCCACTTAGCCGGGACGAGGCTCAGTCTCCCCGCACGTGACTCCCCATGGGCACCTGCCTTCCTCCGCTCTGTACTTCGGCCCCGAGACTACCACCTGGGTCTCCTGTTCATCCCCACGGGCACCTGCCTTCCACTTAGCCGGGACGAGGCTCAGTCTCCCCGCACGTGACTCCCCATGGGCACCTGCCTTCCACTTAGCCGGGACGAGGCTCAGTCTCCCCGCACGTGACTCCCCACGGGTGACTGGCTGGTTACCACGTGTGCCCATATTGTGAGGGCTGAGTGAAATCACTGACGAGGTGGACAGGGCACAGTGGCCAGCACGTGGCAGGGCTCCACGGGCAGGTCTGGGGAGCAGGTGTGGCGTCGGCACCGCAGACGTGCCTGAGTGGCCTGATGCCAGTGGACTGCTCGCCTTGCGGAGCGGGGAGAGTCCCCCGGTGGCGCGTGGTCACACTGCAGTCTTCCTCCGTTTCTCCATCCCGTTCAGATCTGGGGCGCACACACACCTGGCACATTTTTCAAGCTGCCAGAGCCAGGGTTTGAACCACAGTTGGCCATGTGGATCTGCCTTTCCATGCACAGGGCTTTAACTGCTGTGCTACGGGGCTGGCCCTCAGACACACTTCAGACACCATGAAGACGTGCACCCACATGTCTACTGAGTCGTGGCGAGCACGTCCCTGGGTGGGCGGCAGATACCACGCAGTGCTGGGACCCTCTGCCAGCTCCTCTCCTCCTTGAAGGACCTGCTCCTCCGTCCCCCACATGGGAGCCTCCAGGTCCCAGGTGCAGCTGCACCCCTCAGCTCACTGGGTTCCAGGACAGGCCTCTGCACAGCTCGGCTTGGGGGGGGGGGCCCCGCTGCCCCCATCCCGAGCCTCCCTCCTCTCTGGCTCCCTTCCTCTGCCACGCCGTCCTCTGTGCCTGTTACCCTCCAGCTCCCGGAGGCAACGAGGCCTGGGTCAGGTCCTCACCGCAGGCCTGCAGCGTCCTCCCCGACGTGGAGGGACGGAAAGGGATGCAGCTCAGACACGAGCGCCTCGGCGTCAGCCTCCTCTCCGCAGTGACGTGACAGGTGGCCCGTCCGCGAAGCTCTGCTGGGCTCTCCATTAGCTCCCGTGGAGCCAGGGGTACCCTTGGGAGTCTAGCCCGTGCCGACATCCACCAGCCACGCCCACCCAAGCACTGTCTTGTTGCGGCTTGCCTAATGGCCGAGACCTCCCCTCCCCAGCGGGGCGGCTGGCGCCCATTAGCCACCCGCGCCCCACCCTGCCAGGAAGCAGACCCACCTCCCCCCAGGCTTCTCACTGGAGTCTCCCGGGTCCCTGCGGAAGAGGCTGAGTAGACCCAGCCCCCACCGTGCTTTGACCATTTCGGGGCCTAGGGTGGGAGGTTGCTCTCTGGGGCTCCCTCGGGCCTGCTGACTGAGTGCCAGACTCCGCTGGCCTGGAGTTCTGAAGATGGAGTGGAATCCCAGCTCGTGGAATCCCGGGACCCCTTACTATGAAAGAAGGTTCAAACTGGCATTGAGGGCCTTCAGGACCAGTTCCCAGTGGTCTGTGGCTGCTCTGACCCCAGCCGTCCACAGTGCCCACGTGGATGCCCTCCACCTCTGAATCCCCGGCTCCACCCACCTTGGGAGCCCTGGAATGCCTCCTCAGCCTGTTTGTCACCTGCGCAAAGCCCGCCCGTCACCTGTGCAGAGCCCGTCTGTCACCTGTGCAGAGCCGTCCATCACCTGTGCAAAGCCTGTCTGTCACCTGTGCAAAGCCGTCCATCCACCTGTGCAAAGCCCGCCTGTCACCTGTGCAAAGCCCGTCCATTCACCTGTTCAAATCCTGTCCATCTACCTGTTCAAAGCCTGTCCATCACCTGTGCAAAGCCGTCTGTCACCTGTGCAAAGCCTGCCCGTCACCTGCGCAAAGCCCGCCCGTCACCTGCGCAAAGCCCGTCCGTCACCTGTGCAAAGCCTGCCCGTCACCTCTGCAAAGCCGTCCCATCACCTGTGCAAAGCCCGTCTATCCACCTGTTCAAAGCCCATCCATCACCTCTGCAAAACCATCCATCACCTGTGCAAAGCCCGTCCATCACCTGTGCAAAGCCCGTCCATCCACCTGTGCAAACCCGTCCATTGACTGTGCAAAGCCCGTCCGTCACCTGTTCAAAGCCGTCCATCACCTGTGCAAAGCCCGTCCATCCACCTGTGCAAAGCCCGCCCGTCACCTCTGCAAAACCGTCCCGTCACCTGTGCAAAGCCCGCCCGTCCACCTGTGCAAACCCGTCTGTCACCTGTGCAAAGCCATCCGTCACCTGTGCAAACCTGTCCGTCACATGAGCAAAGCCCGTCCATCACCTGCACAAACTCGTCCATCACCTGTGCAAAGCCCGTCAGGTTCTCAGGGTCTTCTCTGGCCTAGGCCCTAGGTGGCGCCTCTGCCCCTCTGCCCAGGCACATGCTCATGGCGCTTCATTCCTGCCGGCCATTCTTCCCAGCTCCCACACCCGCACTTCCCAGTACATCCACCCCTCCACAGAGCTGGCCTTGTCCTCTGCACCCCTGCTCTGGAGCAGATTTCTGTGTGCAGAGCGCCTGACAGCGAGGTCTGCCAGGCCAGCCTTCCCGTGGCTGGGGGTCCTGAACAGGCGCTCTCTCTAGACCTCTGCTGGGCCCCACTCCTCGGGCTGCCCTGGAGGTGTGAGAGGTGGAGTCAAGGCTGCAGCCCTGAGGTCAGGCACCCGCCCACTTTCTGACCCTCACGTGATGGTCCCAGCTGTCTCCTTCCTGACCGTGGACTCAAGGACTCTTACTAGATCTGACTGTGTCATCCTCTTGCTTAAGAGATGTGTTGGTTAAAGTGCTGGACTCCAGCATGAGTGACTGTGGTTCAAGTCCTGGACCTGGTAGCTTGCAGGTTCTCAGTGAAGTGAGAACTTTTCCCTTCTCTCTCGTCCCCTGCCTCTCTTTCTGGTGAGCACATGTGCTCTGTAGCAAATAAAATAATAATAATAAATAAAAATTAAATAATTTTCAAAAAAAAAGTTTTAGAAAGCCTTCCTGGGACCAGCAGGTGACTTGGTGGTTAAGGCGCTGGACACCCCCACATGGCCAACCACGATTTGAGTCCCAGACCTGGTGGCTTGCTTTCTCACTTTCTATCTCTCTCTCTCATCTCTGGTCAAATTAAAAATAAAAATGAATAAATAAAGTTAAACAAACATTAAAAATAAATAAAAAGCCTTCTTGGTCTCAGAGGAAGGAGGCGCCACCCGGCACATGGTGTCTTTGTGTGACCAACCCTGCCCCTCTCCTGGCCTCACCTTCCCCAGACACCCGGGCGCATCAGTACCCAGTTAACGGCCATGCGAGGGGGCGCATGGTTGGTGAGGACTTAGTGCCCTGTTTATGAGTGTGACAAAAGCCTCACTTACACTCCATCCTGTCCTGTCCACAGCCCTGGGGAAGTAGGCGCAGTGCCCCCGTTTTATAGATAAGCAGACAGAAGGCTCAGGAGCTCAAGTCACTTGTCTGCACTGCTGGAAACTGGGCCGGGATTCGAACCTACATCCCTGTCCAGATCCTGCTGTGGCATCGCGTGCTCCGGCGTCATCCTCGTTCTCCCCGTTCTCTGTCCTGCTGGTCCTGTGCAGGCACACTTCACTCGCCCGCCCCACCGGGTGGAAACCCCTCGGTTTACAGTTACCCTCCAGTCTCCGGGGACCCGAGTGAGGAGGCAGCTAGCTGGTGGCTCATCTGAGTGTTCTAAACACAGGTGGGAAAGAGGGAGAAAGAACCTCAGCCTCGATTTGGACACCTGGGCCTGGAAGCTCACAGCACTGTCCTGCCTCGGAAGCCCCCGCGAGGAGGGGGTGCGTGCCCAGCCTCTGTGCACCACCCCGCGCAGAGTGGTTCTTTGGGGCGGATGGAGAATCTGCAGGGCGGGAGGACCCTGGTGGCTGATGGTCACCGACGGAGCAGGACTCACAAGCGGAGGGTTTGGGGCGCCCTCTAGTGGTGAGAGAATTTACGTGAGTCCCGCGGGCGGCGCCTCCTCAGCACTCAGCGCCGCGTTTCCGAGTCGCAGGTGCTGGGTCATCCCTCCCCAGCCATGGCGTGGCCCAGTGAGCCCTGCGGGCCGGTTGTCTTTCTTTCCTGCTGCTGAGCCGGGTGGTCCCTGAGGTCCCTCCGGCCCCAGTGTCGCAGGTTCGCGGGGTGGCGAGCCGGCAGCAGTCTGACCCTGCCGGTGATCACAGTGCTCGGCCTGGCCCAGTCCGCACCGCTCTCAGCCCTGCCCCGAGGACACCCAGACTCAGCCAGACCAGAGAGCAGGCCCGGGCGGCACGGTCAGGGCGGGCCTGGGTCCAGGCCAGGCCTCCAGGCTGGCGGAGCTGGAAGCGGCGCAGCAGCAACGTGGGCAAAGGAGCCGCGCGGTTCCCAGCCCGGAGCTGCGGCCTGGCTGCGGTCCTGGCGCTGGGGGTCTTCCAGCCAGCAGTGAAGGCTCGGGTCCTGCCCACGTCCTTCCTGCCTGTCATCCCGATGCCGACCCCTCAGACCCAGGCTCAGCTCCGGATCGGGGTGGGGGGCACCTGTGCTTCCTCCCCCAAGGGGAAAAACGATCAGATTCCCCGGGGACTCGGACCCCAGAAGGGCCAACATGGGGGCTTGAGGAGGCCAGAGGCGGGCCTGCAGATAGGCTGAAAGAGGAAGACGTGCCATTGCAAGCTCCTCGGGCCTTCTCCCTTCCTCCCCTCCACCTCCTGGAAGCCCCTTCTGGAGAGCCAGGTGGGGTGGTCAGCGGGCCTCGGGACACGTGCTGACCAGCCTGTCCTTTGCCACGTGGTGGCCACCTCAGTGGAAGAGAGGCCGATCCTCGGCAGCTTGGTGAGGGGACGGTGATGGCAGAGGGCAGAGTGCCAGAGGCTGGGAGTGGCCTCATCTGTCTGTCTCTCCGCAGGTGGACAGCCCGTCCAGCACGGGAAGCCCCTCCAGAGGGCTCTTCTCCAGAGCCCCACAGGCCCGGCCCTCCAGCCCCGTGTCGGCCCCAGTGAGGCCCAAGACCAGCCCTGGCTCCCCCAGGACCGTGTTCCCATTCTCCTACCAGGAGTCCCCTCCACGCTCGCCACGCCGCATGAGCTTCAGTGGGATCTTCCGCTCCTCGTCCAAAGAGTCTTCCCCCAGCTCCAACCCGTCTACCTCGCCCGGGGGCATCAGGTTCTTCTCCCGCTCCAGAAAAAGTAAGACATTGATGCTATTGTTTCAGGTGGGTGCCAGGCCGCGCCGCTGGCCACGGTGGCACTGTCCTGCCGGGTGGCCCTTGTGAAGTGGCGCTGAACGCCATGTTAGCGCGTGGCCGAGAACAGCCCTCTCCAGAGCAGCATGGCTTTCTCCCTTTGCGGATCTGTCCGTGCCCGGCCCTTACTGAAGGCTCTCACTGGGGTTAACGGCAACAGGCCGATATTCACGGTGTGACTGGCAGGGGG